CCACCACCCACACATACCGTTATTCTCCCACCCACTTCAACTTTAATAGCTTACCTTTAAGCTTAGCAAAAAAGCAAAAACCAAAAAAAAAATTATATATATAAAAAGGAGCGAAAGCAAAAGAATGGAAAAGAAAAGTAGGCAAGACATTATAACATAGATAAAATGTTGACAACTTGCTAACAAATGAAATGCAAACATGTTGCAGCAGGTCCTTGAAGACAACGATGATGATGATGACGAGGGGGATAAGGAGGATGCTGATGAAGAAGCCGCACAAAAGGGAAATTTATATGTAGCCCCATGAACAGTAGCCTAATCCCCTCAACTGATAAGACCGTGACGAATGAAATTTAAAAGCCGAAGAAAAAATACTCTAATACCATCAAAGGGTCACATACATTTCCCAAATTACATTTTTTATTCAATACGCACTCGTTCTAAAGTAAGTAAATTTAAAAAGGAATAAATAATATATTTTCTGTTAGTTCACAAATTTTTGCGCACTATTTAAAAAACAACAATTCAAACCGTGTTTTACTCTAACAAACAAGAATAAACAAAAATTGGAATAGTTTTTTCCTTTATTCCTCAATTGTAAAGACCACTAAATTAAGATTCAGTAAATTCCCCTATCATTTTGAAAGTGACTTTGTGGATATAAATCCAAATACTCTATTTTAGCTTAGAGTAAATATAAAAAAGAAACTCAAAACGAATCTCCTGGATGCGTGGGCAACACGAAGTAGAAAACCCGATAAAAAGTTTTAGTTTCAAAACTAAGCGATTACCTGAATACACTTAAGAAAATATAAATGGCTTAACACAAAAAAATTATGTTTTTGTTACTAAAATATCCCCTCCACTAATTAAATGTTTGCCTATTGCAAAAATGTTACATTTGATTAATACTTTAAAAGGTTTATCCGACTTAATTTTATACATATTTTACAACTTGTAAAATATCCACCCGAATCTTTAAACAAGTACATATCAGTCACGACTATTGGCTATATAACCCTAATCGAAATACTCTCGCAGAGGGTAGAAACAAACGTTAAAAGCGGCTTGCAGACAGGCAAACTGTGAATGGAGCTTAAGGATTTAGGCCAAAACATGGAATGGAAACGCAGGGAGTCCGGAAAAGTGGGGCGAAAATGGTGGAAACGAAGGCGGACCAACGGTGTGAGTAATTAAGACGCAAGTGCGTAAAAGTTGCCCGCACGAAAATGACGCAAACGCTCCGCGTCAGACAAGAAAATGTGACAGTGTAAAAGAGGGAAACTCCCCGAAAGTAAGAACAAGAAATGGCTTCAATTAATTGACTTGGGGGAAAAATGGGAGAAAGAGGAATATTGTTGGTTCCAGTAACATTTAAAATTTTTTTTTGCTGTGGCATACTTTTGGGCATCACTGTGTAGGGGCTTACTTAATGCTGGTTAAGCAAGAAAAGAGGCTTACGCTCAATCAAAACGTCTTAAACAATGTCTTGTTGTTATTTAGACAGCTCCATACGGACCTGCTTTTAATTCTTGTGAATCAACAAAATGCAAATCACATTTCGCAACAGCTGCCCCGACTGTTTTGCAATGGAAAACAAGTCAATTATAATTGACAATCTATGGGTATAAAATTTCCAATTGGCCGAGAAGGCACGTCCCAGACATAAAACCAAATTACAAAGCCCACAAAACATGGATAACACACACATGGACAATAAACAAAGTGCAATTAGTTGATATACGAGATCCCAGACCGTGTATATGGCACATAGGTGGAGCAGGTCAAAGTTTATGGCCTGCCGTCCGGTGCTGCAAAATGCAACTCATATTTTACAAGGCCAAAAATGTCTCGCTGGCTGCACATAAAACATTTTACTTGGGACAACGCAAACTGACACTGATGCTGACACTTCCACACAACTCATCTGTCTCCACCGATGCCGTCCCTCTGCACCATTGTGCATATAATTTGTCACTTGCATGGTCTTTATATACCGAAAACACAGGTTGAGCAAATAGACATCCAGAGAACACTCAATACACAAAGTATTAATTTGTAGTTTGGCGAACCATTGTCTATCAAATAAGATTTCCTAAATATTTTTTCCTAACACTAAATCAAAAACACAGCCAATCTCAATTTTAAAAAAAATATATAGTTAGTATTCTTCAAACAAAAAATGATTTCAGAATACTTTTATATGCAACGAATATTTCTAATAATTTCAGTGAGCTATTTTATGGCTTAACTTTATAGTTGATACGTTTTTATATTATTTCCAAAAAAAACTAAATTGCAGTTATTTTTAAGCTGTAAAAAAAGCTTGAAACTAAAAACATTTTCGTGTCTTAAGAAATTGGATATAAGAAATTACACTTATAATGAATTTATTTCTTGGCAACCTTTATTCTATTTTAAGATCCAAAATAAGCAACTGGTTTTGGAGTAAACCCTATTTTGTCGGGTGTAAAGGCACAATAAAGGAAAATACAGGAAAGGATAGCCGGTCAAGTCAACCTTTTGAATAAAACACAGCGAGTATAACTATCAGGTCGCAGAAGCTGTCGTTTATCACACATGTGCGTATCCTTCTCGCACGTACACACACCTTTGGAGCTCACTGTGTGCATATAGGTTGGCTCTGCATAAATGTCAAAGAAGATGTGAATTTCACAGTGTGTGTTTGTGCATTTGATATAGGGAATTTCCGTTCAATTGGGCATATTTGATTAACAAATTAAACTTAAACCAATTCGGTGAATGAAGAGGAAATGTAGATAAGGTAAGAGGATGTTTAAATTGATGCATAGATATTATGCACTGCACCTGATATGATATTTTTAAAATATCAAGGTATATTAAGATATATATATATAGACAAAGACAAGATGATTGTAATAGTTATAATAAGTATTACATAGCCAATAATTAGTATGTACGTAAAAATGGAAAACTCCATTATACATTCTTAACATAAAAATATTGAAATACTTAAAACGATCAATTTTAAATCCAAAAATAACTCTGGATTTCCTGTCCAAAACATCCCATACCAGCATTCACATTGTTTGCAATTCAACTTTTCTCACGTGCCATAAATAATAAGAGGAAAGCGTGTCATTCTAAACTTGCCTTATGCTTTCACCTCCTGGCACCATAAAAAAATCCATTCGTGTTTTGTTTCTGTGCACAGTGACAAGTGTTAAAATAACATTTGCACTGCATTTTAAATGGCATTTTCAGAATAGAATTTCTGTGTGAGCTTTTTCGGAAATTCTTCTTTTATTTTAGCTGTGCAGAACGTTGAAACCAAACAATCAACAAACGAATTTCCTGGTAGTCCGGTCTTTGCTTTTGTTGGTTCGGAGTCGAAATGCTACATTTAACCGAGGAAAACATCAAACATGTTAAATAAATGTTCGCTTTGGGCGGCAATGCTGTCGTCCATGAGTTTCGACACTTCTATTTTTAGGGGCCTATCCGAAACGGAAATCAAAAAGAATTTAACCCACCCACAAACTCCATTTTTGCATACACACACAAGAGGGCCTAAGGCAAAAATCATAGCACACTTTAGTGCGCTGCCTACGAGCTATGTTTTGAATACTGTTCAAGAGCTTTAGGCTATAAAAAAATGGGTTATTGTGAATTTGTGATTAACTTTTTTTTGAGAACTTTACCGTTATTTGATATTGTAAAATAATATTTTTAATTATTAGTGCTAGATAAGAAAAATGTTTACTAACAAAAAGTAATTTTTTTACCATTATTAAGATGCTCTTTTTAAAGTAAAAGTCTCGATTTAATTTACAAATTATTTATTGCTGATAACGTTGACCTAATATATATGATCAAGTCAATAAGTTTTAGTTTTTTAATTTTTAAATTTAAGTTTAAATATTAATAATAATAATAATGTTAAGAAAATTTAAATTTGAGTTAGAGGCGTCATATTTTTTAAATTGAAGGGCATTGAAAAAACATGAAATATCCGTGATGTCGCATTCTTCTTAGCCGTTTTTGTATTGGGGTCCAACAGAACGCTTCAACGGCTGCCATATGGCCAACACTGACACTTTTTGATTAAATTACCGTTGGCTGTCAATAACAGAGGTAAACAAAACGGGTTGCAGTTTCCCAACCGTCCTTTGCATCCTTGCAGATGCCATAATTTTTCGAGCTTATAAATGAATAATATTGTTTCAACTTAATTCAAAACTTTTCGTTCGGGATTTCCATCACTTAATCTACTTCTGACGATGAGGATGCAACAGCATTGACATCTTTGCTTGTCCGTTGACTTTGACAGCTGTTAAAGCTTTAATTGCCACTATAAACATGATTGATACCGAAAACTTTGTCCTTGTTTGGCTTGTGTATAAACATCTTGCTTTGTTTTCCTTTTTTTGCTGTTTTTTTTTGCACAAACGAGTTTAATTAAACCTCCATATGGTATATATTCTGGGGGCGATTACCGAAGAGTTGCGAGTGGGCGGTCAGGGATTCTATATTTAGACCACGCTGATTAGGAACAGCAGTAGCAGCGACAGCGAAAAACGTCAGCACAAAGGCGTCCCTGATGTAAATATCACAAGCCAATATTGGACAAAACTGTGTGACAAAGTTTGCTCAATTCTTTTTCCACTCCTGTTGTTATGGGCCGTGGATTATTGATAGATATGGCTAACTTCCCTTGTATTGGCCAGCTTCTGTAACGGCGATAGATAAACGCTTGACGTCGGCCAGTCGATGTAAATCTTGTTACCAACTGGATGAAAATTTAACCCGTGCCGATTACATCTGACAGACAAGGAACAAAGGATACTTTATCTAGCTATCAGCTTCCTATCGATACAGAATTTGGTCTATTTAAAAAAATTTTTTTTTTTCTAGTTTACATAATACCTATTGCACTCCCCGAAAGAGAAAAACAATGAAATCAAACACTATGAAACTTTCGGCTCATAGCAAGCGAAGTATTTGATTGTCACATAAATCTCTAGATGCCCAGTTTATTTTTGAGTTTTGCACGTAGATTCCAGTTCCTAGAATCATATTTAGTGATAGAACACATAAAAACTGTAGTATAATCACCAAAAAAAATCGAAAATATGCCCAACTTTAATGGGGCTATTATAGTGCACACGCTTCAGTTGCTGAATTCGCCGGCTACACTGCGTGAAATCGTGGTTACCATAGCTAAAAATACAGAATTGTCGCAGGATGAACTGAAAATCCCTGTGAAACAAACCCTTGAGATGGGACAGCGTTTGGGATTCCTGCAGAAACTTGATGGTAAGACATTGCAATAAATTTATATTTAAAATAAAACAAATCACTCATTCGAAAGGTCGCTATTTTCTGGTTCCCATGACCTTCGTCACACTGATGACTGAGATGAACGCCATGGACAAGGAAGAGATTTTAGAGAAGCCGAAGACAGCTAAAAACAAAAAGAAGTTGGTGCAGAAAAGCCCCATAGTGTCGGAGGTAGAGAAAAAAACCAGTAAGAAGTCGGTCAAGTCAGCGGAACCTCTAGGAAACCTAATCCCAACTGAAAAAGTTCAAAAGATGGACACTACCAGTTCATCAAACATCATAAAAAAAATGCCAAGTATGCTGATTAAGTCAAAGCGTTTTAAGTAGCCAAGATCACAGAACAGGAGAACTCGTCACACATAAATCGCATATTGTCATTTGCGATTAATAGAAACGTGAAAAAATTGTCTGTTCTGTTCTATAAATATTTGGCCGTAATACGCGAAAGTATAAAATTCTTTATATAATCAACATACGTATTTTAACAATTGAATGGTGGTTATAGCAATATTAATATGATAAATATATCATTTTTAAAACATTATAAATAGTAATTTTTAAGAACATAAAATTAATATTTTAATGTTAATTTATTTTCTTAATTTTAATAGTTTTTTGGCTTAATTGTTTAAAATACCAATTTTCTATCGGGAATATTCCAATAAACTTTGTGTCTCCTAATTCCCCTGGCAAATAAGATGCCTTTGAAAAATGATTGCTCATTTACGCAAGTTGACAAATGTCTCAATTAGTGGAGGACGAATTCTCAAATGGAATATATATTTGGGAAAGTGGGAGGCAATGAGACGCCCGACAATGTCGCGTCGCTTCCTATTCAATTTGAAAACCAAATGAAGCGTCTGCTCCGCCAAGTGACAATTTGCTCTGTGCATTGAATTTACCATATGGTTGGATACCCACCAAAGACGCCCTACGCAATCTGCACCACCACCCCTCGAGGAGTCACCCACCAGCCACAAGGACAGAACCCCTTTAATATTCCAAAAAAGCTTCATTACACTCAACGAATTTATTGAAAATTACTAATTAATATATTCTTACAAAAAAACTTAGTTGAAGGGAAACATTTAACATAACTTTTGGGCTATAAAGTATTTATTCTTGCTCTGGCATATTACACTGTATGATGATTTTGGAAATCATTATTAATTTTTTGTACTTTAAATTTGTGTTTTGATTTCAAATTTTTTCTGTACTTTTCAATTTCGTTCTCGCTGTTTTTCTTTGACCTTTGCGATGACGTCGTACCGGACCGGCGTCGCTTACCTCAAAGAGAGAGCAATGTAAACAGAGAAAGAGAAAGGCGGAGAAAGGAAGAGAGAGAGATAGGCAGTGAGTTTGAGAGAGGTGCCGTAAAAAGCCTGGTGAATAGACAGAGTCGTGAAAAACGAATTCTACACGAAGAGTGCAACAAATGTTTGGAAGACAACTTCGGGCCAACAAGGTAAATGTTAAGGCGTACACGGTGGTTGAGTGGGTGAGCTCGTCAATGGGTGGTTTTAGCGGGTGGTTGGGTGGGTTCAGTGGGTGGTTGCTTTTGGGCCCGTGACGCGTGGGCAGCGACAAAAGCGAGTGAATTTATGTCTTGCCCTTTTTTTCGGCATACTGGCATACAGAGCACAGCGAATTATTTGAGTGTGCCGATGTACAAAATGTGTTCCTGAAAGTAGGTTTTTTTTAGGGTGCACCGATAAAAGCTAAGTTTAATCCTTAAACTTAGGGATTCATATAAGGAAAACCAGTTTTTTTCTTAGGCAAAAACACAATGCAAAATCCCCACTTTTACCAGCTCTACCCCCAATATTCATTACCACAGAAAAAATGTAATTTATTTTAAATTTAGTAGATATGCCTTACATTTCATTTTATAAAGTTAATTTTTAATGTTGTTTTTTTTTTTAGCTATTTCGAAAGTCTTGTTTTTTTTTATTTCTAAACAAATTAAACCACCCTAATGCTGCAATATCCCTTGTAAGAGACCTTGTTCGAGATGAGCGCGTGGCCAGACAACGAAATGTCAAAGCAGCCTGCTTATTTTTTGTCCGTATTTGCTGATGTATCCCTAAATGTGTGTGCGATTTTTGGTTTAGCTTTTTGGCATATGGTCGCTTTGGGAAACCGGTAAGAGGGGCATACGTACATCACCCCATGTTGTTGTTCGGTGGAAAAGCTGTTTCGCTTTTTTTTCTCTTTTTACTCGAGGTTTTCTAGTTAAATGTTTTGCAACACCGCATCGCATTTCCATGATTAGCAGATAAACATATGTTAAATTGCTAACTTTGCGGGAGTGGGCTGGATAAGTTTGAAGGGGCTCTAGGGAAGTCGATGGTATATGTGGGGCACTACGACTTTTATTAAGCTTTTAAGAGGACTAGCAGAGAAATTTTTGTTTAGGATGCAACAGCTGTTGGGTAAGGTTCAGAAATTGTTCAGGAAAGTGTGTTGGATGAAAATAACATTTCAAATTCACAATACATTTTCATTTTATTCCAAGCCGTGGACACCAAATAATTTATTAAAAATATTAACAAAATAACGTTGTCACTAATTACAGTCCTTTTATCTTATCATACTCATTCCTATACCTCAAATATTGTCATTCCATTCGCTCAGAATGTTTCGCAAGCCCTTAATTCAACTTTAATGAACCAAATTATAATTGCAAATAAATTATCTCATTTAAGACGCAGACAATTTCGCACTTTTGGCTTTTAGTAGCTCTGAAACTCGGAAAACGGCGTCAAGGCCAATTAGAAAACTTTGTCCAAACATCTCACTACCAAAAGGGGCGAAACTAAGACTTATCTCCTGGATCTGTAACAGCCCATTTCGCCTTCGGCAAACCCTCTTCTGGGCGACGAACTAAAGCATATGCCAAAGTAAAAAGCTTACCAAAGTCAAACTCGATTAAAAATGCATAAATGCAATTAAAAGCAAATGGAAATCGAACGAAACTCGCAAAAGCTGCGAGCGAAAAACGCCTTGGGATGGAAAGGCAAGAGAGATTACACTTAGGAAAATATGTTTTTTGGAAGAAAGCACAATTTCTTATTTTAAAAGATTAACTTAAAATATGTTGGGCCTAGGAATAATTAAATTTTACGAATTAAATGCTTACAAATGCGAAAAATATCTAAGCCATATATTAACTAAGTAAGCGAGTATGATGTAAGTAAGTGTACAGAAAAACCTAATAATATTATAATAAAATTTACAGACTCAACACTCATTTATCTTAAAATATTTGTAAACCTACTAACAACAGAATATCGAAAATATAAATTTTCAATATTCAAGCAAATATATATTGTTTGAGTTTTAGCCTAGTTTACGCTCAGTACACCAAAGCAAAAATTGTTAAAGATATAAAGACGCAGACGTGCAGCAGAGGAGTGAAGAGAAAGGGGCGGGTAGGGAGTGGTGAAGGTGGACGGTGGGTGCTGTGAGGTGAGACACTCAAAAGGCGCGACAAGTGTCGGCTGAGCTTTGTTTGGCGGAAAGAGAGCAGCGAAATGCGAAGAGCAAAAAGCGCGAAGCCAAAATCCAAATACGACCAAAGATAGTAAATCGCAATGTTTATGCCGTGATTTTAAAGAATTTTATTAATCTTAAAAAATCTTTTAATTCAAAAGTAAGAGTAGCTCTAAATAAAACTCAAAACTTAATGACAACATAATGATTCTCACTATTCTTTTACAAAGCAAAACTTTTTGTTTGAATATTGATCAATCAGAAAAATTTGTAAGCAAAGAAATGTTAAAATAAAATTTCGGTATTGATAAGCCGATTTCTTATACATCAAACATATAGTTATATTTTAAGTATAATCATGCTCATTAACAAAATTATTTTCCATTTTATGACTTTTAGTGGAATTTATGAATTCATGTTTTTCCAACAAACAGGGACCCGCATGAACACAGTAACAGTAAAGGAAGCCCTGACCATGCAGTTGCGTCAATGGGTGGGAAGGAGTGAGTGCGGAATGGGAAAACGAATATTAGAGAGAGAGAGAGAGAGAAAAAGCGAGAGAGGCACTGGTTGAGTTGGTTTTGCTGACTGCACTTGTTTTGCCATCATTGTTATTGTTGCTTGCAACGTTTTGCTGCCACTTGGCCGCAAAAGCAACAAAAACAAACGCACACTAATACATGTGCGAGGTATTGCCAATTCACCCACATATACACAGACAACATTTTGCCCGCCGCTATAGTAGGTGTGTGTGTATGCTAACATATTGTAATCATTTTTTCATATTTCTCAATGAAAAAACCGACTCCAAAAACCGTTAAAATAATCCAAAAGCGTAACATACCTATTGTAATTTTAAAAATAGTGAAGAATATACAAATTAGTATGTGAAATAATGCAACATATGCTAACACACACACACACTAATATCAACTTACAAGTATGCAAGTAATTTTGCCTTTGATTTGCTTTTGTTTTCTATTTATTTATTTGTTGCTTTTTGGTTTTATTTTTTACTGCACTTATACAAAAACACACGCGTACGCTCAAAACCCGAAAAGCAGCCAAAATTGTGTTGTTTTGGGTTTCACTGCATTACATTATTTTATATTTTCTTTAAAATGCGTAACAAGTATTTTTTTTAACGAATAACGCGAATGTAACAAAACAACGGTAAACGATCAAAGGTTAATAACGACGATTTTTGCAGACGAAAAACCTGCGACGAAATAGCCATTTGATGGGAAAAAACTAACTATTGTACTTGCCGAATTTGGTTTTTAATGCTCGCTAGCTTTTCTGATTTCCGATGCGAACGCGCGCGCTGCGAAGACATATTCAAACCGAGTCGGAGAAGCCCTCTATATAGATTCTCTCTGGCGGTTGAAAACATTTTAAATTGAGTGAGTGGAAAAACGGCTGATTCGGTCGGCTTTTCTCTCTCACGCCTCCAAAAGCTTTGCGCCCACAACTCTTGAGCGCTCTTCATAACGCTCTTTTTTCACTGGCTGCTAACGGTAATTACTTCGAAAATGTTAGCAAAGAGCCTAGCGCAATATTGTAAATTTTTTGTAGAAAGAAAACCATTCTGGAATTTACTTCGACTTAAAACTCGAAGCATATTTCCATGCTTCATAAATATAAAAATTAAATTTTGAAATTTAAAAAAAAATACAAAATATAGGATTATTGAAACATCTTCCTTACGATGTACCAAATTAATCATTCCATTCATTATCGCTAATCTTGTAATGGTAAAAAAAACATTTATTTTGAATTGCATACAAAGAAATTGGAAAATCATATTAGAATGCATTCCAATTGTAAATTAGCTTTGAAAATATTTCTATATTTTGAGTTTACTAAACCATTTTTTGTTGTGCATAAGAGTGCATATCTTTCTCTCCCAACCTCTTCGGCTCGAAAATTCTTCAGCTGAGTGGGCGTCAAAGTCTCTGCCACCCACAGGAACTCCTGAAATTGAGTGGTTTAATGGTTGGAGTCCATGCTACGTAAGTTATTTAAGAAAATAATTTACATGGCACAAAGATCATTTATTGCTGCACCCATTGTTTTAAGAACTATATTTTCAATGTACAACATTAGTATCAATGAAATTCGGTAATGGATTTATAAAAATGACTGAATTTAGAAGAAATTAATAAATATTTTATTTTTAAGCGGAATTTAAATTATCTGAAACTCATAAATTTTAAAAACCGATACATAATAAATTTAAAACCGAAATTATTTTCTATTTAAATAAAATATTCAAGACAATGTGTAAAATCAAGTCGACGTCAGTTGCGCCGTATTTGGTTCTGCCGATGCCTCTGCTCGGGAAATCGCGTGGGAGAGCGATGGAAGTTTCGATGAAATGGAAGGAGACAGAGCGCATAGGAGAGCGAGTGGGTGGCAGTGAGTGCCTCCATATTGAGCGCTTTCCCGAACCTACAACCTGTATGAAGACGATGGCTCTAAACTCGCAAGCTAAAGCTTTTTGCGGGTGGAAATTGTTGACGGCAGACATCCAAAACAGCTGTTCACAAAAAAAAATAGATTTGTGGATTATATGTATGTATATTGCCCTACTGAGTTTGAAAAGTTTGCAAATAAAGTTTGCAAATTATTTTTACTACATAAAATGGTTAAACTTAAAGCTTTATTTAAAAATATTTTAGATAACTAAGTGATAATATTTATCAAAAACGGCTTATTTATAAAAATATAAAATTGTGATTGCCACAAAATTGAAACATATTTAAACAAACCAATTAAAATATATAAACTTTATTCGATACTTTTGCACAAATATTTGGAGACGTTATCTAAAATTTTTTTTTTACTGGTTATTGCACTTTGCGAGGTCAGTCTCAGAGAAACCCAACTCAGGTTTTCAAAATGGAAATACCCAAAAAATGTATACATATACATATGTATATATACAAATCGTTCTTATCAATAATATTGGGAGGGCTCTTCGAACATCGTTGATTATGCCTGAATTTAGTACTCTCAAAACATTCGAGTTGGTTAGTTCTAAATATTTGCTATGCTCAAGTCCCGGATACTTATTTTTTGCGCGATTATCGCTTGCCACCTGGCATCTGGATCCGTCATCTCGGATTTAAGTAGCACCAGACGTCCAGCTCTATCTCAGTATCAAATAGACCATCTTGAAGAAATCTGTTTTAAGGCGTTTAACATGATGCTGGATCAGTCGATTAACAGTAAGACCGTCAAAGAAGAAACCCAATTGCCCCTGGAACAGGAGACTCCTAAGAAGGTCATCCCGCCCAATTTCAAACAGATTGGAACGAATTTCTACTACGTCGAGAAGAGCCAAACTGTAAATTGGTACGCTGCACAAAACACCTGCCTTCAAATGGGCGGCCACCTCGCGAGCATAAATACAAAAGAAGAACTCAATGCCCTCGCTGACAATATAAGGGGTTACTGGGTTGATATTAACAGTCTGGCCAAAGAGAAGGAATACATATCTTCAACTACCGGCGCTCGGTCAGCCTTTTTGGAGTGGCAATCGGGATATCCCCAGTACGAAACAGATTATCGCTGCATATTCATATCCGCGAATAAGATGTATAACCAACCTTGTTCAAGTAGCTATTATTTTATTTGCCAAGCTTAATGCCATGTATAAAAGAAACAAATTTAAATCATTTGATTGAAAGAACATTATTGGCCTTTTTTTATAGAAAACAAGACATCGAAAACAATAAATGAAAATATTTTGAACAATTTGTATTTACTAAGCGCCATTGAAATCCGTAGAGCTAATCTTTCATTTGTTAAAGAATCTTTTGATCAATATAATTTCCCTCGTCGACTTGTAGCAGAAATGATCTCAGCTCCTAGGTGGGTATTGGCAAAATATTTTGGCGTAAAGAGGTCCATGTTCAAAGGATAACAATTACAAAAAAATGGCTAAAAAACGCTTAAATTAATCAGATTCGACTGGCAAGAAATTAGTTTTTTATTTTTAACTTGTATTTTATTTAAGATGTCAACAACAAAATTGCATGACATTGTAAAAAGCATTAGCTTGGAGCGCAACCAGTCTGGTTTGTGTCATTGATAAAAGCGGTTAAAGTTTTATATTGCTTATGAAACTTTTTAAGATTTTTAAGCAAGATTTGTAAAAACACAGACGTATATAACTTTTTGTTGATAAATTTCTGTGAAACATTTATTTTTTCCTTCTATTTTAAATTTTGTCAAAGTCCTGATGGGATTTTGAATATATTTTATTTAATATCAATATATGTTTGTGGAAGTTGCTAGATTTCATCACTCTAATTTGTTTGGAATTTATGCCCCAACTTTGCAGAATTTTTTGGATGTCTTGCGCAGCCTCAGCCACCACTCAAAGTCGTTCTTGATAAATTTGGCTTTAACAGCACGTTCACGCTGCTGGACAAATTTGTCGCGATCGCGCAGCCAAATGCGGGCGTATTCCCAGCCAATGAGACACGCCATCGATACCGGAGTGCACTGTAAAAATATTAATAAAATTAAATATATTAAGGGTGACATATAAGGACATAATGAGCAATTATGAAATATACATGAACATCTCTAGATTTGTTGCCTACTTAAATGGGCATCCACCTAAAATCCTTTGTAAAGGATGAATATTAGATGCTCTCTAAGAAACACCTTTTATGCGACCATGAGCCAAAAATATTGTTTGGCATTGATTTGATTTATTAATCTATAAGGGCGTTCATAACTAGCCTTATTCCTTATGAATTATATTTTGACATTCCCCGTAAATCACCTCTAGTTCGCAAGATGGCACAAAGCGTTCCCGTTTTCCCGCCTCGGTCGTGAGATTGTCCTTGGGCTTACAAAGCCGAGCTCGAGACCATTCTTTGGTCTGCTTGTTCATTTCATCAGCAAGTTTTCTATTTCTATTGCACTAAAAATTAGCTGAGCCCAAAATAAAGTAACTTAAGATTTGGAAACACTCATATCTGAATGCGAGAAATTTTCGTATCCCGAGCTGAAATATGTTTGAAGGAAAAGGCTTTACGGGTATGTGAAAATATTTTAGAAAGAAAATAATATATTTTATTTAATGATTGGTTTGCATTTTTGATTTGTAATCCCCTAAATTAGGTTTTAAACATATTCAATCTATTAAATCATATCTAATTTTTCGAATGTGGTGGTCAGTGTATGTCTTTACCAAACCCCGAAACTTCTTCAACGGGCAATAAAAATAATATAAAAATGGAAACCGCACAGAAAAAACTTGGTAAAATTCCCCTCACCGAAGGACAAACACTGAAATGTTTCGAAGGCGTTTCCTTCTACCAACAAAATCAACAACAACATTTCCAGGACCAAGAAAAAGAAGAAGCAGCTTAAATAAGAGGCAGAAATTGAACCTGGAACTGAAAGACAAAGGGCAAAGAAGTATAACAAACTTTAAGTCAATACACCTACACAAAATACAAGAACCGGGCGAAAAAAATGAAATAAAATTAAATAGAAGAAGAAAAACTCGCCACTTTTCCCCGCCCCACTAGCCGAATAATAGAAGAAGCAGCACAAGAAAAACAAAACACGGCGACAGGCCAACAATTTGAGGTGGGCGTTTTTGGAGAGTGGGGTTGGCTTGGGGTCACATCGGTTCTTTATAAGGGATGCCAAAAACCCCTAAAAATACTTTAAAAAAATAAAACAATTCTGAACAAATTAATTTCAATCAATTTCTAAAAACCAAAATTTACATTGGAACAATCTATATCTTTTTCCGTTTCTAACATGCATTTTTAACAAGATCAAATAACAAAAACCAAAAGAAACTTTTTCCGTTAATAATAATTTAAAAAAAAAAAATTGTAAGATCCATTTTTATTGCCGGTGTAGATGGTACGACCAAACGTAAATCAAACAAAAATAAAACAAAGCAAAACAAATAAAATAAACAAAACTACGCAAAAGTAGCAGACGACGAATACGAATATAGGATGATGATGAAGCAAACAAGGAGCAGCGCAAACAAGTTGAGCCAAAATAATTAATCAATTATATAGCTCGTCGAATGCCCTTTTCTGACTTAATTCAACAACAAACCAATTGTTATAAAAAGTTACCACCTTTAATAAATAAATATTATTTAAATAATTACTTGCATTACAGGATTTTTGATCATGAAGCATGAGCTTCCAAAAAAAAGTTTTTCTTAATTTTCAAAAAAAATATTTTTTTTTGTACGGTTTTAAAATATATCTAGAATATTTTTTTTAAATTGTTGTAACAAAAAAAACAGCCAAAATGTAGGGTATAAGTTTGCCAACCGAAAGAGAGAGTGGAACCAGAAGTAGAAGGAGAATAAGTAACGGCTCAGTAAACGAAGAAAGCCAAGAGAACCAAAAAAAACAAAAACAAAGACAAATAGAAATACAGAACATGATGATGATGTTAATTTTGATGATGATAATGATGAAACAAACGAAGCATTTTCCGTTTTCTAAAACAAACATTTGCAAATGTTCTCAACAAACTTTTTATTTGGCCAAAAAAATGAGGGAAACAGAAGCCAGACAGCTGTGGGTGGTTTGGGTGGCAAAGTGGGTGGGTGGTTAGGGGGTGGTTGGGTGCCGTAGTGGGGGGAAGTTTCGAGCAAGCAAACACACAATTACAGTTTCAGTTGTGTTTGTCTCTCCGTTGCCTGTGCGCACTGCAAACAAAACTTCCTATTTTAACCCACCTCTTCCCCCTGGTGTGCAGTGCTGTCTCACTCACTCTCACACCACTTACCACATTTTCTCCTTTCTCTTTCCCCACCTTTGGCTGTCCACAGCTCACGTGCAATTGTATGCGTAAATAAGCATTTTACTATACAACACAAACTGTTTCTTGTCCTTGTCATTGTTTTTGTTGTTTTTTACCCCGTAGCTTGGAATTTTCTTTGGGTATAATCGTCTTATAAATGATCTTGTAATAAACTATTCTCAATCAGACAAATACTTTCGATTTTAGCTTGTATGTATTTTTTCAAAACTAGACATTAATTTATTAAACTAATCTAAACATTTTATGAGATAGTAGCTAATAACATTTGGAAATATCTTTTGAAATTATACAATATAAATAGGCAATCTTTTTAAGAAATTCGAACAAAAAATTACAATTAAGTAAATTCGAGCGGATTAACCGTTTTAATAATAGAATTTCACAAGGAATTTTATGAACTTAAAAATTGTATCATTATTTTTAACATTAGTAAATCATTCCGAATCCGAGGTATTGGATATTCGAAAAACGGGATTATTTCGCTTCTTACTTGGTTTTAGTGCTATTTGTTTATTTCAGTGGGTGGCAAAGGGGGTGGGCGACTTTAGCTGGGCGACTGTCAAACCCCATCCCCTCGAACCCCCGCCCTTCGACGCTTCCTCTTCTTGTTGAGCTTTTTTGTTGTTGTTTCAGTGCTCATTAGTCGCATTCGCATTGGCTCCTTGTTGTGTTTGCCCCTGTCTATGTGTTTGCATTTGTTTGTTTTAAAATTTTATTGTATTTCATTCAGTTGCTGCCTCGTTTTGTTTCATTCCCTTGCTGTTGGCCTTCCTGACTTCGTTTGCTTTTAACCCCATATCGCCCCCAAGGACCATTTGCCCACCTACTTTTGTTTTTTCGAGGCTGAAAAATACTGGAGACGTAAGCATTTTCACTCATTTATCGGTGTCTATATAATGATCATGAGAAGGACAAAATTATTATTATTCTAATACGGTAGTATACAATTATTGTAAATTGTAAGGTTCTACTCACAATGCGCTTTGCTGCATTTATAGTACTCCAGAAGAAATTTGTAGGAAGAAATGAGTTTAAGGAATGCGCATCGGATTTTGACTATATCACTCATACGCACAGTTGCCTTCGGTCAGAAAATTCATTCTAACTGACTATACGCGTTGTACAAAGGTATATACTCAGTACTATACTCAGTACTACATCGCAAAGTTTAGCTTTGTTTTGCTCACTTTTCAATTACATTTCAAGGCATTTCAGCGCGACGACAGCCATGAAAAAGTGCAGCGAAATATTCGACATATTCCAGATGAGCAACTACTATGACAACAACCATAAAAATAAAATCAACGACCAAAGCCAAGAACTAAGAACTACAACATAAGCAGACAGATACATTTTCTACCCATCCACCCAACCGCCCACAAAAAACTCACGTGTTGCCGACGTTGGTTGGCCAACACCAAAAAAAAATGCTTAATTAATTAATTTTTTGCATTCGCTTGTTTGATTTCTGCTTGACTTTTTCGGTGTTTCCCTTTTTTTCAGATATTTTTCATTTTGGTTTTGTTTTTGGCATAGCTGCGTTGGCGTTTTTGTTACCGCTGCGGGAGTGTTTATATGTCATTGTTATTGTTAACAGCTGTACTTTTGAAAATTTACAGCAGTAAAAGCACAAAAAATAAAACAACTTGCACATAAAAAACAACGTAGGAAAACAAAACAACCAAATAGAGCCAACACGAACAACAACTACAGGAGTAGCAGAAAACAATTTTTGCTGAATGCACACGAAAAATCAACGAAAGCGAAAGACCTAACCAAAACGAAGCGATGCACAGCAAATAAGAATATCAGATGTCAAAAAAAATTCTAAAATATTTAAGATTCTTTTGTTTTAATCGTGGAGATCCTAAAGTATTAAATTTGTAACATATTCCTTTCCCTAAAACACAAAATTTTCTAACTTATAAAAATATTTTATGAGAAATCGATTTAGCTTGAATTTCAAAGCTAAACTGGTTTTAATTTCGCAATGATCGTTATTTCCTAACTTCTTTTGGTATTCTGTAGAATAAATTAAAGTTTTAATGTTTTGGATGTTCCATAGCTTTGTTCGATATAGTTATGAGATTACTTAACTAACAAAAAATTACACTATTTACCTATTTAGATTAGAATCTTAATTAAGTAACTAATTCGTTTGAAATCACTGATCCATTGATTTTTGTTAATGAGCAACAGCATTCACATTGACTAAGCTCTTAAAAGAATTCTTTCGTCATCAAATATGAACAACATTTTTTTCCACAAGTTTTATAAGTTTTTATTTTTAGTGTTTGGCAATTGCACTGGGAGTTCTTTGGCCCTGTTATTGTTGCTATTTCAGCCCCTGCTTCTTATTATTGTTGCTAGTCGAATAACAAAAAATACAACACAGAAACAAGCAGAAGAAGAGTAAACAATTGCAACAACAACCAGCTGGTTCTGGGTTAGTAAATAAATGCGACAAACGTATTTTTTCCGTTCAGCAAAACAATGTCAACACGGCGAAAACATTTCAACCAAAAATATAAAAACTACCAAAAAAATACCACCCGCACAACAGTTTTGGTAGCAGCATTTGCAGAATAAACATTTCATCATAATTACATATATTCAGATGGGGTACAGTTGTGTTCCAGTTAGTATGCAACCTGCTACTAAGTGTTGCATACCACAGGGCGATATCTTATCAAGGAAACTAAGAAAATGGAGGAAAACAAAAAGCCAGGAGGCAAAGAAAAACTAAAGAAAAATTTGTTGACTTCCGCTTGAAGTTTTGCCAAGGTTTTCTATTTGTTTTCCATAGGGTGGCCATAGCAGTCAAAACAAGGCAAGAAAGATTACCCTAAGCACTTATTTAGGGTTCAATAAAATAAATAATATTATTTTCTAATCTAAGATCATAATTATAATCATAAAATTACAAACTCAACAATGATCCATTGCTAATTTCAATAGGTAAGATAACCCCAAAGTATTCGATAAAAGACTGCAAATTGATGAAAACTTTTTTGATCCCATTATCATATTCGTCTTATGGACTTTCTATATTAACATTAAATATTTACCTTTAAACAAAGTGCATTCCAGTTACAATATTAGCCATTCTTATTTGTTTGAATACAATTTAATTATTTCCCTTAATGTAATTCTTTCGAATGGTTTGATTTGCTAACACCTGTATAGTAGACATTCTTCTCCCTCCA